TCCCCCTCCCATTCCTCAGACGACATGTCCATCCTGGGCCTCCTGCAGTGCCACAACGATGCCACCCGAAGGTTGCAGGAACAGCAACTCATATTCCGCTTGGGAACCCTGCAGCCCAATGGTATCAATGTGGACTTCACAAGCTTCAAAATCTCCCCTTCCCCTACCTCATCCCAAAACCAGCCCAGCTCGTCCCTGTCTCCCTAACCTGTCCTTCCTCCCACCTATCCCCTCCTCCCACCTCAAGCCCCCCCCCCATCTCCTATCTACTAACCTTATCCCGCCCCCTTGACCTGTCCGACCTCCCTGGACTGACCTATCTCCTCCCTAACTCCCCACCTACACTCACCTTCACTGGCTCCATCCCCTGTCTGTCTCCTCTCCACCTATCTTCTCCTCTATCCATCTTCTATTCGCCTCCCCCTCTCTCCCTATTTATTTCAGAACCCCCTTCCCCTCCCCCATTTCTGAAGAAGGGTCTCGGCCTGAAACGTCAGCTTTCCTGCTCCTCTGATGCTGTTTGGCCTGCTGTGTTCATCCAGCTCTACACCTTGTTATCTCAGATTCTCCAGCATCTGCAGTTCCTACTATCTCTGCCCCTCCCTTAGCCATGTTTCTGTAATGGCTATAATATCCCAGTCCCACGTACCTATTCACGCCCTGAGTGTATTGGCCTTACCTGACAGCCCTCTTGCATTGAAATAGATGCAATTTAATCCAACAGGTATTCCTCACTCACTGTCCTGTTCCAGCCTGACCTGTCTCTTCAACTTGCTATTTCTGATTACTGTACTGTCTACTCATTAAGTGACCAGTTAAAGGCCAATGGAGTTTCTTCAGTCACTAAGCCCATGTTGTACAAGAGTTGAAAGGTTTTAGACAGTGGCCCACTGCTCCTCGTTGACAGCTGCCCCAGGGTGTACTGAATGCCAAACACAGGGTAAATTTAAGGGGAAGACAGATAGATTTTTAATTAGTAAGGGGTTGAAGAGTTATGGGGAGCAGGCAGGAAATTGGAGGTGAGGCCAAGATGGGATCAGCCAGGATCATATTAAATGGTGGAGCAGGTTCAAGGGGCTTAATAGCCTCCTCCTGTTGCTTGTGCTTATGTTCTGATGTTCAGTTTGTCCATCAGTATGCATTCCTAGTCTTAGGTGTGTGCCAGCCTATAACATTCAATCAAGAACAGCCCTTGGCAGCAGAAGGTCAGCAACTAAAGAACATCTTCCATTGAGTTGATGGTCCTCCAAGCACAGTTGATTAATCTTATATCTGGGTCAGCATAAATAACAAGTGCATCCAACAAACTGGAGTTATAAATACCCTTCTGATAGTTTTTGTTTCCAGCCAGGGGGTAGACAATGAGCTGACAATTACAACAGGAATTATAACCAGCCCTAAGGCTTATATCACACTTAGGAATTTATAATTAAAGCCAGTGAGATTCGAATCAGTTCCATTTACTGCGGAGAAACATTTATCCTGATTTATTATCTTCTTATGAAATTGGCTTTTAGCTCAGTGCACGGTCTAGTTATTATATCAGTGTGAAAAGGCAAACCTTGAATTTAACCAACACTTCATAATGTCTCTGAAGCAAATATCAAAGTATTTATGCAACAAGTTGCTTCTGGAGTCTAGTTTTGCATAACAGCAGGATTCCCAAAACAGCAATCAGCTACAAACTGGATAGTCTGCTTTAGCTGTCTTCAGCTCAGGAGTTAGTCATGTGTTTAATTTGTGTTTAGTTATCAATCCAGACAGGGTTCACACCACAGCATTCATCTGCTTCTCAGATAATGTTCCTGCCTGGAACTGCATCTTCTGATGAAACCATTATCCGTACCTTGTCTGGATCGTTCGAGCTCGACTAGAATCAACTAGAAGGAGACTCTTCAGCCCATCATGTCAAGGGCAGCTCTCTGCAAAAAGAATTTAGCTGGTCCCAAACTCCGTGCTTTCTTCATAGGCATTGTATCCTTTGGGGCAGTCCTGTTGCTTTAACTGGGTGTGATGGACCTCTCCTGGGCTCACAGGGAACCCCCCACCCACCCTGACCCTGGGGAACTCCATGACAAACACTCCCCCCAACTGAGGGCTGCAGCGCTTCATTGTTCAGAGGTGTCCATGGGGAGGCAGTGGTTCGTGCTGGTACTGTACCGAACAGAATCTTACATTTCCCATGGACCTGGGCACAACAGGGTGATGATAGGGGGTGGCAGGGGTGGATGGGGTGTTGGCAGCAGGACAGAGGGTGGCATCAAGTGGGCCCACACTTCCTGTACTGTGCACAATATGAATGTTTTCCCACATGCTGAGTCACAGAATCAGAGCTGTACAGCACGGAAATAAACCCTTCGTTCCAACTCATCCATGCTGACCAGAAATCCTAAATTAATCTAAACCCATTTGCAAGCATTTGGCCCACATCACTCTAAACCCTTCCTATTCATATACCCATCCAGATGCCTTTTAAATGTTGTAATTGTACCAGCCTCCACCACTTCCTCTGGCAGCTCATTCCATACATGCACGACCCTCTGCGTTAAAATGTTGCCCCATAGGGCCGTTTTAAATCTTTCCCGTCTCACCTTAAACTTATGTCCTCTAGGTTCAGACTCCCCTACCCAGGGGACCTTGTCTATTCACCCTATCCATGCCCCACATGATTTTATAAACCTCTAAAGGTCACCCCTCAGCCTCTGATGCTCCAGGGAAAATAATCCTAGCCTATTCAACCTCTCCCTGTAGCTCAAACTCTCCAACCCTGGCAACATCTTGTAAATTTGTTCTGAACCCTCTCAGGTTTCACAACACCTTTGCTCTAGCAGGGAGACCAGAATTGAACACAGTATTCCAAAAGTGGCCTAACCAATGGCCTGTACGGCTGCAAAATGACCTCCCAACTCCTGTAACCAATGCAGCACTGACAAACAATAGCAAGCATACCAAATGCCTTTGTCACTTTCCTGTTTACCTGCAACTTTCAATGAGCTATGAACCCACACTCCAAGGTCTCTTTGTTCGACAATACTCCCCCTACTTTGCCATTAAATGTATGAGTCCTGCCCTGATTTGTGCCACCAACATATAGCACCTCACATTGATCTAGATTAAACTCCATCTGACAATCCTTGGCCCATCTGATCACGATTCCATTG